ACATTTCACTTTTGTTCTTTCAAACCCTGAACAAATCTCGACTTGATCATAATTATGAAGTGAATTATTTCTTTGCTACAACACCCAGAAACCCAACAAGCACCAGCTGAAAGCCAGGCCCACACTACAAAACTTAAATCTTCATCCGCAGTCACGGCACCCTGTCCATCTTCTCAGGATCGAAGCAGATTTCGAAGCAGTTTCGCTCTACTCCAAACCTTGGCCCAGAAAAGCTACTGAAAAACCTTTTCTTCAGAGACAGCCACAGCCTCCACAGGGTGTGACGAACTCAAAGAAAATCATTCTTTCCATTAACAATAAAAATATTTACCTTTTGCCGTCTCACACTGCTGTCTCCATGACAGAATAAATACTCCAACCAAGGATTCTTTTACTGCTTCCTTATTGAATGCCATACAAACTTTTGTCCCAGGAAAAACAGCAGAGCCCTGGAGTTCCTTACACACCTGAAGCAAAGGACTCGCCACCAACGCTCTCAGTTTTTGTTGCATGTGTTAAAAAGCAGGGAGGAATTCTTAATAACACCACTTTTTTCTAAAAAAAATGACCTTTCTCCAAACGGGTCCCTGCAGAGCCCGGCCGTTCACCCCCAGACAACGCCGGTTTTATCACCGCAGGTTTAGATGAAAACCACCCCAAATCTTCAAGTCTAATACCAAACAGAGGATGCAGCTCTGCAAGCCTTCTCTAGCTGCATCACGTCAGCCCATTTACCGCATCGCCCTCCATATTTAACATTTATAACCCCCTCCGCACACATCATCTGAAGAGTCAGTGGCTCCTTTTGTAAGCGATCGGCTTCTTACCCCAGCACTTTACATGCACTGCTTGACAAAAGAGACCTTTTACATGTCAATTTATTTTCAGACAAGCATATCTGAAAGGGAGTTTCTCTCCGGAGTAGAATTAGTGTTAATGGCAGGTGTCCCCGTGCAGCACAAAAGGAGGAAGGCAGCAAGTTAGCTGAGCTTAAGTCGTAAGACAGCTTGATGTTTTAATAACCAGGGGCAAGAAAATGGAGTGGCAGCGGACCTCCAGCTTTCATAGCATGAATGAAGGTTTTATTCAGAGCCCCCTATGTACTTGCAAAGACCACTTCGAAATATTTTAAATGTTTTCTTTGCATTAAAAGAGGGATTAAATTGTTGAATATTACATGAAAGCGCAGCATCCGCCCCACATACCGTCGAACACACTTGCAGTCACCGAGCATTTCCGAAGCCTCCGTGTTGCTGGGAAGGCGGCAGTGGCTGCCGCGAGGAGGTGGTGGCACCCGGGAGGCCACCGGCTGCACAGCTCACTGTCCACAGATGGCAAAAGCTGCAGGAAAAAGAATGAAATGAGCTAACTTCAAGGTGGGGATTTGAAGAGGAGATTTGCCTTTGTCGGCTGGAAGGCTAAAAAGCAGATCGGTTGCTCGGTGAAATTTCACTAAGAAAGAAAAAAAGGGTGATTGCTGAGAAAGTTACTGGCCTTCAGTTTCAAAGGCAGCCTAAATAATAAAGATGGGAATATTTATCAGGGCAAAATACATTTATTTACGCTCTGTTTAATTTGACAGAGGTCAGGACCACATCATTAAGAGGAAGGCACAGCTACTTTACACAGTGGGAAGAAGGGAAACAGCGTCTCAGCTGGGTCGACCTCTTTTACAACAGAAAACGTTGCTGATTTACATCCCCAAACAGGAAAGTTTAACTTTTCTTGTACAGAAGCTCTATTATATAAAGAGAGCTGCTCAATATTATTTTCATGCTCCTTGTCTACGGACGAACACGGTGTTTCCGCACAGGTTAATTCCAGGTAGGCTCAGCTCTTAGAGGCTGGATTCCAGGATTTCTGCTCCCTTGAGCTTTCATATAGACGCACAGGACAAAAATCTTAAAGGTCAAGTTGACTATTAAACACCTGAAATAACGCCAGCAGTTTTCCTTGTAAAGACTTCCTTATGTATGAAAGTTAAATACATTCTTGTCCCTTTTCAAATCAAGACAAAGGTAAGCTGTATATCCTCTTTGTCCCATGTTAAAGCTGAATGACCTCAAACTCCTGCGAGAGCAGACCATTTGGTCTTCTCTAGGACACCTTCTAGCTCCCCCCAGCAGGCTTTAGAGACCCAGCCTGACACAGGTCCAACCTGCACCTCAAATAATGAGTTAAGATGACAGCAGTTGGTCCCAACTGTATTTTGGCAAAGGTTTAATATTGTCAGGACAAAACCAGAAAGGGAACGAGGGGGCCCGCGCAACCCGTTACAGACACCTACAGTCCTCATACACACAGAGGTCAACAAGTCCATTTTTATTGAGCACTGGAATTCAAAAAGTAAAAGCACTTGGTTGATTTGGAAGTAAAAATCAAGACTTATTTTCACTTATCGAAGGATCACTCAATACAACTTGGTTAAAAGCACCCCAGAAAGCAAGGTATAGCCCTTCTTGGTCACTCTGTTCCCCACAGTGATGGAGGTCCCAGAAACTACAGCTGCACCAAACAGTTCCTCTGACTGAAGATCCCAGTGAGGCAGAGGGGTTTGACGCTCTGGGTATCGGGGTTTGACGCTCCGGCTATCGGGGTTTGACTGCAGTCAGCCGCCGGCTGCCCTCCCTGCGCCCACAGAGCTCTGCACCTCCTTGTCCTGCGCATCTTGGAGTTGTCACCAGTTGGCCTCACACCAGCACCATTACACGGAGGATTAAGCAGAGGGTGTCATGTCTTCCTGACTGATCTTGGAAACATTCACCATTTCATACAAACAAGCCAGCTACCATCCAAGCAGGGTGAACGTTTGGCCTAAGACCATCCCGAGGGTCCGTGCTGCTGAGCAGCTCGCAGTGAGCGGTGATCACCACCAACACGTCCAGCCCCATCCACCGTTTCAGACTCCCCCCAACACAGGAAATATCCTGAAAAACTGTCAAAGTGCCTGCATCAATCCCAACAGCACCCAAAGGGACTGACCCCAGCTCCAGAAAGAAGCTATTTATAGTTACTGTATTTGTTTCAGCCACCTAACCTTTGCACACCTTTTCACTGGCACAGGAGTCACTGCGGTTGTAGGAAGCGTAAGGCAGGTTTGTTGGCACCAATGCAAACGTCGTGCCAGAGGTGAAAGCAAGTATTTTGAAGGAAGGCATTTTTGCCTGGTGGAGCATCCCCCTCCCCAGTTCTCAGGAAAACATTAAAACCAGCTCTGCTGGGGGTTGGTGGCAAACCCAGTGAGATCCAGCGTGCACCGGCCTCCTCCTCTCTGCAGCACCGGACATTAGTGCAGTACTTAGAATAAATATAGAAAAAATAGTGACTACTTCAGCTTCTCACTGGCTGCTCCAGGGAGTAAAACAGGACCTGCCTGGATACGAGTAGAGGAGGAGAGAGCTGTACATCTCAGAGAAAATTATTTTGTGGAATTCTCCATTTTAGAGTCAACTGGGACTAAATAAAAGGGAAAAGCAAAAGAGACAGTTTCCCCTCTCGTTATAGGATCGACCAAAAGTAGCAGAAATTCACGAGAACCTTTGCTGGCTTCAGTCACCTCCTCCAGCACGTGAGCGTTTGCAGTCCTTGCAGCAATCCCGCTCCTCCCGAGAAAACAGCCAGCACCAAGCCGGGGAGCTCCAGCAATTCCCTGCAAGTCAGAACGGGTCGGGAATTTATTTCTAGCGCAATTTGCCTCCAAGCGTTCGTTTCTATTAGCACTAAAATGTCCTGAGAATACGAAGTTCCCCTCCACAGCCTGCGTCCTGCCCCCTTTCTTGCTGATTACGGCCTTATTCCATAACCAGTTCCAATTACTTCCCACTGCAAGGTGAGGCATCGCACCGGAGAGAAGGTGGCGTAATATGCAGCCCCACTACAGTACTGCTGGTTTCCCCATCACTGGGCCAGATGAAAAGGCTCTGCAGATCTCCCAAAAGGCAGGCGAGAATCATTATCCCCGTACGACACGGGGAAACGACCGGGGTCGCTTATTCTGCAGCTAAAAGTCAATCAGTAAAAAAACATCAGCTGAATGACACATTTATTGTACAATTCAGAAAGAAACCCTGAGTTACCAGCTGTAGAACAAAGTTAAATTAAAAAAAAAGGATGGTTTGTTTTGTAGGTTCCTTTTTTTTTTTGAAGGAAAGGAAAACCAAAAATAGTAAAAGCAGCAGCCAGAGCCAGCCCAAAGGCTCAGCTTTGCTGAGGAGAAGGTTCCTTTGCCATCCCCACCAGTGCAGGTGACAAAGTCCACAGGGCGTGATGGGGAGAACATGAAGATGGGAGGGCAGAGGGAAGGAATGAGCCAAACCTAGCAGGCATCCTGGACAGCCGAGCATCTAAGGGGGGGTTTGGAACACCCATGGTTTATGTCACTCAGAGAACTGCTGCCTGGGCTGGGGGAGGCCGGGAGAGAGGAAAAAAGGGAGTCTGAAAAACCGACCTTACACTCTGAACACACAGCGCAAAAAGTGGAGGGGAGGGAAGTCCTTTACAAGCCCCAGTTCTGCTGGCCGGGAGTCTGCAGGGCTGGCTTTGGGAAGGGCATCCAAAGGTTCAAGGGAGGAAAAACCCCAGAGCCTAAAGCCCAAACGTTCTGCAGTCTTCCAGCTGCAATGGCGTTGGAGAGGACCCATTCCAAGAAATGATGTAGCTACAACAAGTATCTGGCCCTACACAAGAAAGGGTGAATCAGAGCTGCTTTTTAGTGCCACTTGACATCGGGTATACATTCTAGTTCTCATATACACAGACGGATGTCTTTAAAAATTGACAATTTACACTTCAAAAACAGTTTTACAGTGAAGTTCTCTCAGCGAAGATCAGTCCACACAAGGAGGAGCCAGTCTTTCAGAAACAGAAAGGCACTTGGCCTTTGGAGCAGTCCTCAAGGGAGCTCCTGTGCAGGCATTGACCACCCGATCTCCCGCTCCCCGTCCTCAGGAGGTGTGCAAAGTCCAGCGCGTGCAGGCACCGCACCGTGCGGCCGCTGAGCGCCCCAGCTTCACAGTGTGGTGGAAGGAAGTTTCTTCACCCGCCTCTGTGCCAGAATGGAGGATTCGATGGGCTTCAGCTGGGGGCTTGGCTTGGAGCTGTTCAGTGCAGAGTAGGTGGCAGCCATCGCCCCCTTGGAGAGAAGGCACCAGAGAGGTCATTCAGATGTAGAAGAGATATTTCATACTCATGGCTTTACAAGACAAGAGACAAGAGTAGCCAGACCCACAACCAAAGCCAGAAGCATCTTTCTTTTTAGTTTAAGTCTCCCTCCTGTACTCACACGCCGTTACAGAACCTCCCTAGGTCTTCCTGCCAGAAAAAATGGCCCACACCTCTTGAAGCTGCCATCCTGCTTTGCCCACACCACCATCACCCTACCCAGACCGCTGCTCTCCAAAGAGCCCAAGGTACATGAGGGACCACCTGAAGGCCCAGCCCAGCCTCGGTACCTTTACAAGCTGAACGTCCTGGTGATTGAGCTGGCTCTGGGGTAAGCTGTCCTTCTGGGTTATCCACGGATGCTGCAGGACCTGCTTGGCTGTTAGACGCTGGTGAGGATCTACGTGAAGCATCTTTGATACCAGATCCTAAGGGCATCGTTTGGAAAGTTAGATTTCAGAAGATTTCATACTTCAAATGTAAAAATACCACCTGTCTGCCCCCAAATTAGGATTTAAATTCAGAGGCCAAGTTCAAAGCCCCCAGACCCCAATCTCCTTTTGTGTAAAGTCTGTTTTCGTTAGGCCTGGGAAGTGTAACACAGCAGCAAACCCTGCATGGGTCAAGCATGAGGTTCGTGTTCCACGCAAATATTCACAGTCAGAGCTAAAACAAGACGGGGAGAGGCACGCTGCTGAGCTGCCATGGGGCAGATACGCATGGGGTAGAACCTACACTACTGGTTTTCTCCTATTCTGCTCTCCCTCCTCAACTTGCTTTAAACTTACCCTACAGCAAACGGCCGTGCTTGACCCCAACCCTTTAATGCAAGGCAGACAAACATCAACCCGTACCTTGGCCATGTCAGAAATAGTGTCCCAATTGCCCCCACTGACGGAGAACTTCCCCCCGCCTATCCGGGTCAGGATCTCTTCTGGAGTGTCACTGGGACCATTTGCAAACGGAGTGCAGCTGAGGAGAGCAGAGAGAGCATCTGAGTTACTGTCCTGTGACCAGCCAGGGAGTGCCTCTGGGCAGCACCGACCGGCGAGGAGAGGTCCAAGTGCCACCACAGAGCACATCCAGGAGCAAGGTGGTCACAGCCCCAGCTGCTGCCTTCCAGCGAGGCGCTTACCCTGCGAGCATCGTGTACAGGAGAACTCCCAGGCTCCAGATGTCACAGCCCTCGTCGTAGCCTTGGCGTTTTAGTACCTGAACAGAGGAAGCAAAGGGGAAAAAAGAATGTTTGGTTCTTGTTGTTGAGCTCACTTCAGCTCTGAAGAGAGGCTTGACCCCTGTGTGCAGTCTGTACGCAAAGCTCCACGAGCCCTACTGAACAGCAAAGTTTGGGACTCAAGATCAGGATTCAAATCAGATTTTGGTTTTATGGAACAGAGAAGCCCCCCCAGAGACATCAAAACAACAAGCGAGAAAGAAACCACGTTCCAGTGTGGCGCACGCATGCTCCATTGCATGCCTGCTCTTTTTCTATCTTCCACACCAAGATCACCGACTGGAAAATCATCCCAGCTCTTGTAAAAGCTCAGTTAACCAGGGAGAGAAGCAGCCTGGAAAACCAGTGGGATTTCAAAGCCTCAGTACCCCAAGCAGACCCCCTCATGAGGACAGCGCAAGTTGGAGGACTGCAGTGGAACTGCGCTCGAGATCCCCTGTTTGTCCACGACTACAAGCAGTACTTCTGTAATTACCTGCTCCAGGCCAGGCTGGAGTTAGGAGCGGGGCAGACCTGCACGTGCCGAGTGAGAGCACAGGCCAGGGGACGGACGTGACAGCTACCAAAGGGTCTCAGGTCAGTAAGGTGCTTACCTCGGGTGCCACAAAGTTTGCCGTATAACAGGGAGTCATGAGAAGGCCATTCTCAGCCCTCAGCTGCTTGGCAAAGCCAAAGTCACAAATGCGAATGCTTTCGGGGTTTCCTGACTCGTCCACGTAGAGAATATTGCTGGGTTTCAAGTCCCTGTGAACCACCTGTGGAGCAAAGACAGTGCTGTTCTCCTGCCCCAGGAAGACGCAGGTCTGAAGCTGCGTCGGGACTCTCAAGCCCTGCTCTGGCCCCACAGCTGGCTTGCCAAAACAGCAACACCAGCTAGAAACCATAGTTGGGACAGGCAGAGTTACTCCCTGGAGGAGAGGGAGCGTAGCGCCATGCCAGACAGCTTACCAGGAAAACTGATGTAACCGTACTCACCCCTTGGGAATGCAGATACTCCACTGTTTTACAGATCGTGTGCAGGACCGAACTGGCTTCCCTCTCCGAGAAGAATTTCTGTCTGAGGATTTTATCCAGCAGCTCCCCGCCCCTCATCAGCTCGGTCACCAGATACACGTACTTCCCATCGTCGTACACCTACCGAAGCAAGCGCAGAGGGGTTAACCCAAAACTGCTTCCAGAGCTTCCCTTTTGTACTTCTGCCACCAAGAAGCAGACAGAAATCAGCAAGGCTGAGGTGGGTCTGGGGATGCTTCCCCACCCCAGGGCGATACAGTGAGCAGGGGCATGGGGTGGCCTGTGCTGGAGCTGCTTTCTGCCCACCACGGACCAGTCTGCACTTCCTAAACCAGAATATAGGAGAAGTCGTTCAAGTCACACTCACGTCTTTCAAGGTGATGATGTTTGGGTGCTGCCCATATCGCAGGAGGATTTCTATCTCCTCAGAAGGGTCTCGCTTGCTCTTGTCAATAACCTGCGAGAGCACGGATAAGCATGAGCCACAACAGGGTGGGAAAGGGGCCAGGACAAAGCAAAAGTGTCTGGAGCCCTGCAGAGACCCTGCACCACAGCCATTCCCTGTCCCCTGCCCTCTTTAGCAACAAGCTCCAGAAACCCCCTAGTTGCTTCATCAGTTCTGTGTCCCCAGACCCCAAAGTTTTAAGTCTGGCTTATTTGTTAAGAGCCGACACAGCCACAGCAAGCTTTGCAAAGCCAGGTGAGATCCTGTCCTCCCCCGACAGAGGAGAACACTGCTTCCCCGCCATTCCTCGATAAGAAAGCTTGTGCAGTCGCATGCACAGCAGCACGGAATTGTCTGCTTAGGCCCTACGGAAGCAGGGAAAGCAACTTCACTCCTGGATGTTATTTCGGTCATCACGGGGATGAACAGAAACCTAACCGGGGAGTTCAGTTCAGATGGTAAATCTCAGACCTTGACTGCGTATTCCATGTTGGTTGCTTTGTGAACGCAGCGTTTACACACTGAGTAGGAGCCGACGCCGATCGCCTCCTTCACCACGTAGCCGTCGCTGAACTGGACATTCTTGCCGTGCAGCTGCTGCAAGAGGCGAGTGGAGAGTTGATGAGCTGGGAGAGTTCAGGGAAGGGTTTGTGCAACGTGATGAGTTAACTGCAACCCCGAGCGAGCTGACAGACTGCTGTCTGCTGCATCCCACAGCTTCTCCTCCCGGCTGGGGAGAGGGAGGAGAAGAGAACAAGGCAGATACAGGTCAGTGGGCTAACACTAGCTGCATCTAGCGGGGTGTGTTTTGGTGGCACCTTTCAACCCACGGGCATTTAGACAGACCTCCCGCTAGCTCGGGTCCACCTGGGGAGGGGAAAGCAGGCAGACTCGCATTGCCCTGCTGACCTTTGCCCATGACAACCATAGACATGAAAGAACAACAGGATGCAAGAATTCAAAACGGAACGACACTGCCTCCGGCTTCCTGTTAGCTCTGCTCCAGGTGGTAGAGAGGCCTCGCAGACCCACTCTGGAGTATGACTGCAGCTTCACACTGTTGTTCCTCCGTCCCCACTTCTTACCTGCACCACCGAATGCAGAGGCGACTGAGTAGGTTTCACCTTGCCGTCCTCCATCAATCCGGTCGCTACAAAACTGAAGCCTC